ATATATATGTATCAGTGTCATACATAGGCACTGATGATAGTCTTCGCAACGTAGTGATCATTTGCTCCTGTTGATTATACAATATTTGTGCTCCTACATGTTATTTTACTTTATTTTATTTTATGTGAGTTGATATTTCCCCCCCCCAGGATGTTATCTCTTATGAATCTGTACAGAAGATGAAATATCTGGACAGCATCATTGCTGAAACTCTGAGACTCTATCCTCCTGCATTCAGGTTCGATTTTACATTTCAAATATGAATTTTATTTGCTAGTTTGGGGAATAAATTCGAAAGGTCGTAATTGAAATATTTTATGTAACTTGTGGGTTGAAAAAAATAATAGCACCCCCTACTGTTAGCGTTGCTTTATAAACAAAAGTTTCAAAACAATTTTTTTGTTTATAAGAATCAAAAAATATACAAATGATGGATTAATCATAATGAATTAAAAAAATAGTCAGACACTCCTTCAACAATATTAAATGAAAAAAAAGTGATTTTTTGAGAAGTTTTGTTCGAAAAAAATTTGTTTTTTCTAGGCAAGGTTTAAGTCTGTTCATAACGCTGTCCAAAACACATAAAATTCTGGTGTCGTATGGGGTCTTAGTTCGCTGTATCAGCGCAATTCGTTTTTCTGGCAATTTATAACAGATTTAACTGATGATTGTATTACAATTCATCTCACTAAAAATTTATTGAAGTAGATATTTTTTTGAGAAATCTTAATTTATTATTTACAAAATTTCCGTGAGAAAGAACAAATCATGACAAGGTTAAGTGATTGTGTTTTTAATATTCATAATTTTTTCCTGTTCTGTAAAGGATTTACACATAATGTATCTGGAAAAAATTCAATATCCTTCGTATCTAACCAAAACAGTGTGTTCTACAATTCGAATGACAAATTTTGGCGGTTGATAGAAGGCATCAAGAGGTAGATTAGATCACAGACAAAGTTGAGAGAGGTGGGGGAAATCGCGAAAACCTCAGCCAGGTTTTGGAAGCTGGAAAACAGCAACAAAAGATACTTTTTACTTCCTAATAACAAAAGATCTATTTTCTTGTTTACAACGTGTGGTGAACCACCTTCTCACCAGATGGCGATGAATTCTGCTCGCCAGATGGCAGTGCAAAACATTGACCCTAAATGAATTTAACGCGTAACTTTATAAATCTTTAATCATCGGCTCAAATTTTATGCCGATTGCTCTGGACCTTAAATATTTCTAAATTTTTTCTTGAAAATTAAGGTTAACAACAATTTTTTTTATAAAAATGCAAGCACTTGTTTTTCCTTCATGTATCGCATGTGCACGTGAAATCGATCCTCGAGCTGCCTCAAAATGGTATGTTTATTTAATTTTTACTCTTTGATTTTTTGAAAAAATACTGTGTATTTGTGTTTCCTCTTTTTAATTAATTTTTACTCTTTGATTTTTTAAAAAAAATACTGTGTATTTGTGTTTTCTCCTGCATTCAGTTCACGCATAATTGTTTACTTACCGTGTTATCTGTAAAATTCTGAATTTAGCTTAAAAATGTGTAAAAAATTCACGTAAAAAATTTCCGGATCGTAATTCTTCATTTTCACCCTTAAAAAAAACATTCTAAATTTCTTTTTCATTTGTTTTTGGCAAATTTTGATTTTGTTATAATGGCTGGTGATGATGGCCCCATCACCCCAGAGGCACAAATCGCACATGTCTTTGTAAAACCACCCCCCTCTTCTGGAAATCAAATCCTACGCTATGGTNGTTTTTGGCAAATTTTGATTTTGTAATAATGGCTGGTGATGATGGCCCCATCACCCCAGAGGCACAAATCGCACATGTCTCTGTAAAACCACCCCCCTTCTGGAAATCAAATCCTACGCTATGGTTTGTTAGGTTGGAGGCTCAATTTTCATTAGCTAATATAATTACTGAACTAACAAAATTTAATCACGTTGTAGCAGCTCTTGACGCTGACGTACTAACCTCTGTCAGTGACATACTAATTACTCCACCTGACAATCTTCCGTATTCTGTTATTAAAAAGCGCTTAATAGATTCGCATTCCGAGAGCGAATCTTCGAAAATTCGCACATTGCTTCAAGGTTTGGAATTGGGCGATCAGCGTCCCTCACAGTTACCTGCGCGCATGCGTTCCTTAGCTGGCTCGTCCGTAGGAGAAGCGCTGCTTAAATCACTATGGTTGGGTAGATTGCCAAACAATACGCAATCCATTTTGGCAGCCCTAAATCAAGAGCTAAACCAATTAGCTATCGTTGCAGACAAAATTCATGAAACTTGGAATCCGCATTCGATTAACGCTGCAACAACGGATAAACAACAAACCTCAGGCGAAATGGAAGCTCAGATAGCTCAATTATCTAAGCAAGTTAGTGAGTTAACTACGTTGGTTCACAAGCAAATGGTTGAGTCTCGAAATCAACCAGCCAAACATTTTAGACGACGCAGTAATTCGCAAAAGTACCGGCAATTTAAAGAACCAATTAATGGTCAATGTTTTTACCACACAAACTTCGGTAATAGGGCAAAGAAATGTACGCCGCCGTGCTGTTTTGTTTCGGAAAACTAAATCGGCGATCGTCTCCTGGCCAAAACAACGACCGCCTCGTCAACCGTGTCTTATTGGCCGATTCCTCCTCTAAAATGACTTTTTTAATTGACACTGGTGCAGACGTTTCTGTAATTCCAAAAACCTATGCCTCTAACTCGAAATCTTTAAACAATTTAACTTTGTATGCCGCCAACGGCACAAAAATACCAACGTATGGAACTAAACGTATTATGCTTGATTTAAACCTGCGACGCCAGTTCAATTGGCCTTTTGTTATTGCTGACGTGCGACAACCTATCATAGGAATTGATTTCTTAAAACATTTTGACTTACTTGTTGATGCTAAAAACCATAGAGTTATTGATGCAAATACTAAACTTTCGTCTAACGGTCAACTTATAAATATCGACTCCGAATCATCTAATATAGCTATTTTAGTCGGAAATACTCAATTTGATAAGATCTTAAGTCAATATCCTGAGTTGATCAACCCTTCCCAACCTATTACTAATAACCAAACAACTCAGGTATTTCACCATATCGAAACGAAAGGCCCTCCAGTTTCTTCAAAACCCCGCAGACTCGCGCCGAATGTCCAAAATGCTGTAAAGAAAGAATTCGAATATTTAATTTCTCAAGGCATAATTCGACCATCAAAAAGTCCGTGGGCAAGCCCTCTTCACGTCGTGAAAAAAGCGAATGGTGACTTTCGTCCGTGTGGTGACTACCGCAAACTAAACTCAATTACTGTACCCGATAAGTACCCAATTCCCCACATTCACGATTGTACACAAAACCAACATGGAAAAACGATATTCTCTACTATTGATTTAGCAAGAGCTTATCACCAAATTGCTATTCACCCTGCGGACATTCCAAAGACTGCTGTAACCACTCCATTTGGCTTATTCGAGTACACCACTATGCCATTTGTCCTTCGAAATGCAGGTCAAACCTTTCAACGACATATCCATCAAGTTTTATCTAACCTTGAATTTTGCATACCATATTTCGACGATATTTTAATTGCCTCCTCGTCTGAAACAGAACACGTAGAGCACCTCCATCAAGTGTTCTCGCGCCTCGTTAAATATGGTCTTAAATTAAATCCTGACAAATGTGTCCTCGGTAAATCTTCCGTAAGGTTTTTAGGCTGCCTTATAACATCCGAAGGAGTTAAAACTCTTCCCGGAAAAGTTATCGCAATCTCAGAATTCCCAAAACCTGAGACAATTTCTCAGCTCAGGCGATTTTTAGCCATGTTAAATTTTTATAGACGCTTTTTGCCCTATGCAGCTGAAACACAGGCGCCTTTACATAATCTTCTAACTAATTGTAAAAATAACGACAAACGGCCAGTTTTCTGGACTGAGGAAACAGATCTTGCATTTCAAAAATGTAAATCCGCTCTGGCTGACGCTGCGACTCTTGTTTACCACGCCCCCGACCAACATCTGCATTTATATGTAGATGCTTCAAATTCCGCGGTCGGCGCTGTTTTAAATTGCTTAACTATCGATGGTTTGAAACCATTGGCCTTCTTTTCTCGTAAACTGAGTGGAGCGGAAATGAAATACAGCACGTACGATAGGGAACTCCTAGCAATCTACTTGTCCATTAAATATTTTCGACACCAGCTCGAAGGACAAAAATTTATTACGATCACTGATCATCGTCCATTAACGTTTGCATTTTCCAAAAATTCAGACTCTTGCTCCGCACGACAGCTCAGACACCTCGATTTCATTTCTCAATTCTGTACAGACATTCGGCATATATCCGGTTCTGAAAATGTCGTTGCCGATGCTTTATCGCGAATCTCTGTGCTAAAAGTCCTGACATTTGAGGATCTAGCTATAGCGCAGGAAACTGACACCGAGCTACAAAACTTGTTAAAAAACAGCGAAAACTCGCTTCAGCTGAAAGTCGTCACCATACCAAGCCAATTGAAACTTTGGTGCAACATTGAAAAAGACAAGCTGCGTCCCTTCGTTCCTGTTGCCTTCAGAAAATTAGTCTTCGACCAGCTGCATAACCTGTCTCACCCTGGCATCCGAGCTACCAAGAAGCTGATTCTAGATCGCTACGTGTGGCCATCAATTGCAAAAGATGTTGTCACTTGGACTCGGGCTTGTGTGGACTGCCAGAAATCTAAAGTCGTCAAACACACCCGTAGTCCGATACAACCTTTTGTTCAGCCATCTCGTCGATTCGATCATGTCCACGTAGACCTCGTTGGACCCCTGCCACCTTCTGAAGGATTCTCCTATCTTCTTACCTGCATCGACCGTTTTTCAAGGTGGGCAGAAGCCATTCGTTTGGGTGACATAACAGCTGAGACTGTGGCATGCGCATTTGTGTCACAGTGGGTGTCCAGATTTGGTGTTCCCTCCATCATCACGACGGACCAAGGGAGACAATTCCAGTCTTCCCTTTTTACATCTTTGACAAGATTGCTTGGGGTTAAACATATTAGAACTACCCCCTACCACCCTGTCAGCAATGGCATGGTAGAGCGTTTTCATCGCTCGCTCAAGCAATCTCTCAAGTGCCACAACAAACTTAAATGGACTGAATCCCTACCTAT